GATTTTAAACATTCACAAAATTATCAGCCTTAGCTAATTTTGATAATGCACCAATACTTTATGCTTATCTAATTCAGCCTATTTGCTTGGCTTTAGCTATTTCGTGAACGTACTGAAACAAAATTTGATAAAAATTTCTAGTACGTAATACTATAATAATAGAGAAAAAAGATGCATTCAAATTTCCTGATTATAAATGACAAAGAAATTTTTGCTTACTAATAAAAGTTTAGCAATTAGTAAGTACTCATATTCTAAAGATAATTTTGTCATTCAAAATTATTTAGTGACTAAAGTTTTAAATTATCTTTCAAATACTTTATTATGAATGATAAGTTTTGCTTCTTGGTGTAAGTTATGATTTCTATTTAAAGAGGACCACCTTTATTTAAGTATTGTACGCTTTTCAAATTAGGGGAACAATTAAATTTATGAATCCTATGATCCTGTATATTACTATTATTTTTACAATAGTTCATATGTACGTATGATGTAATATACAAGTACAGTATAGTACATAGGATTCATAAAATTCAATTATCTTCCTAATTCAGTAATTGAAAGAGCGATTTATCTCAAAAAATGTTATAATTGTTCATATGACCTGTTGATCTGGGTCATGACCCGAATAAATATCTGACTCATCTGGATCACTATTTTCTGACTTGGGTCAAAGCTCTATTATAATCTATTCTTATCACCTCATAATAGTATATCAATAGCTGTTTGCATCTTTTCATATACCTGTTAGTGATTTGAACTGAGAAAAAATTCATTAGTCGGGTAACTGAACTAAAATATTTAATATCAACCAGTTGCAACTGATTAAGATTACTTCACACTTTTACCTTCAGAAGTTCTCAGACCTTTACTCAAATTTTTATGTTCATTCATTTTCTTTTCAGAAGTTCTCGGACTCTTTGTTCCTCTGTCAACTGATTACCGATACTTAACTAGTTGTACAGGTCAACTGATTAAGAATTTACTTAACTGGTTACTCGAAATTTATTCAATTCAGGTCAGTTAACTGATTATAGCCCAATTAGTTCAAATCACTAATACCTGTAAAACTAGTTTTAACAAAACAAACAAAACAAAATATATGTTTTTATGTGTTTGTTTTTTGTTTTGTTTATTCCTATAGTTATGCACTCAATAGAGTATATCTAAAAATAGACATAATAAACAATACTGATCTTTTGTAAAGAGAACCTAAATTCTTCACTTTTGTTAATATAGATAAAAAGCTAGTAAGAAAAAGCTTGCAGTATATAGTTGTTTTTCAAAACTTTAAAGAGTATGTAGACAAAATATTTGGTTGTTCTTCTGCTTTTTAAGCTTTCTTTTATCAACTTTGTTAACAAAAAGCTTTGTTCTAAAAGTTCTTTACCAAAATTTTTTATATAAGAACTCTACCTTCTACTAGTTATCTTATATAATATCACTTTTAGCTTGCATACTAAATATACAAAGGAGTCTCTAAGGAGAAGTAGAACTTTAGTTAACTTTTGTAAAAACTATTATTGTAAAAGAGTCTTCTTCATTATACTTCAACAAAATTTTTGTTTTTGCTTTTTCAGTTTTTTTTTAGGAAAAAGAATCATCAGAAAGAGTTGCATGAAAAATATTAATTTATTTGGATTAATACAAATTAATATTTTTAGACAAAATTATAAGAAAATTAATATTTTTGCAATTTTTAATTTAGTATAACAATACTATTATAGGCAAAATTAAGATTTTAATTTGGGCTAAGCAACATAAATTTAGCTAATCTGAATTGTTAGCAAGTTTTAAAAAATTAAACAATTCAACAAACAGAAAACCATATTTACTAGAAAGTTATAAAAAATAAAATGAGCTTTAGTTACTGATTATATTATATTATATTATATCAAATATTGCATTCTAATTAGCTAATTATGAGCAATTAGTATAAATTAATATTTTTGATCAAATTAATAGATATTTTTGCTAAATCAAATTAATATTTTTCATGGTTCTTGCTAGCATATTACCATTAGTATGCCAAAATTTTTAAAGTATATATGATGTAATCAATTAAAACTAATATAAATAATTTTAGTTTTAATTGATTATATTATATATAAGATTTACTTTGATCAAGTATTTTTCTATATCTTTCTTTGTATCAATACCCAAAATTACTCATTGCTATATTACTTTTTATAAATTAGCTAGTATTCAAATGTTTTATTTTTTTTTTTGTTATTAAGGCGGCTTATATTGCTGAAGGAATTTTATTAGAATTGATACAAGAAATATATTGATAGTTTCTACTGTTTGTAATTACATGAAGAGTGTACAACAAGCCACATATACAACTTTAGTTATTGTCTAATTTAAGTAGTCTGCTACATAAGCGATTAGATTATCTGATTAGTTCTACACTATACTGCCATACCTGTAACCTGCCTATAAGTTACCTATTTAAATACTCTGTTTATTAACCTATACAGATCCAACCTAACGTTACTATAATATCTAACTACTTAAACCAGCTAGCTCGTTATAGATCTATTTATTCAGAATGGATTAGGTCCTCTCAGAATACATTATACCTAATACATTATAGATATCGAAAAGCCAGTTAACCTTGAAGCATACCTACTAGAGTAGTCTGTACCTATTTTATGGATTCATCTAGCTTAGACTCTTGTAGATATTCGTACAGCCCCAGTTCCTACTGTGGCTCTCCATTAGTTTTCTGTATTCTATAATCTCAGATGTTTTATGAGGCAAATCCTCCCAATTTAGTTAGCCACCAAACCAGGTTGGTATTACTAATCCTCCCTGTGGACTAGATTTATATATACCTGACTCGATCTGCATCTTTTGATGATAGTTTTCTTTTTGGATCAAGTGTTAGCCAGTATGACTATCAAAGGCTGTACTACTTCACAAACTCAGGATTTCTACTATGCAGGTCCCCTGCCTGTAGATCCTATTAAGATTTATTTGTATAACATTATATCTCGCCAAATACCTTGTTACACTTTTAATATCTAGATAATATTAGTACAATATGATTTACAGAGTTACAACCTCAGAAACGAACAGGATTTACTGTAAGTTAGGTACAAAGGTCTAGGTAATTATTCAAATTCGTCGATAATAGAATTTGAACTCCAGACCTTTTGCATAGCAGTCTGGCAACCTAACCACTACACTAAGATCACCAGACCTTATTTAAATGTTTTATTATAATCTTAATTAACTAATAGCATTATACAAATTAACGATCTCTGATTATTTATTTTAGTAGGTATCATTATATATATATAATGATACCTACTTACTTAAGATTGTTACCTACTTATTGCCCTAGACTAATACCTACTTATGACAATGTGCCTGTCATTATTTGAGTGATAAATAATTCGTGCTTGCATTGTCAGAGATATATTAGTATTTGCTCCATTATTCAAATAATGAATAATTCACGCTTGCGTTATTAGAGATATATTAGTATTTGCTCTGTCATTTGAGTGACGATTAGTTCATGAGTTCATCATTATTTGAGTAATGATTAGTTCATACTTGTATCATCACACTTGAGTATCTTACAACCTATAAAAATTATGATGACGATTTTATGTTCGCATCATCATATTTAGATACCTTATGATCTATAAAAAATATGCTAATGATGCATTCATTCATATGTCTACTCAAAGCATAATTTTTTATAATATATCTGTAATAATTTTACCTTGGGTAGACACCAATTTTTCTTTGCTAACGATGTATTCAGTCACGTGTTATCATTTGCAGGTCTAGTGTGAGGGCTATATCTGCACATAGTGCTGAATTGTTATCATTTATTTTGTATTCACCTAAAGCATAATTTTTTTAATATATATCTGTAATAATTTTACTTTGAGTGGACACTAATTTTTCTTTGAATTATGTGATTTTGAGCAATAAAATTGCGAGAAGGCGAAATCCCTGAAATTTTTTATGACCAATACTTATCAATAAATTGTTATCATTTATTTTGTATCTACCCAAAGCATAATTTTTTATAAAGCTTTGCCCATGCTTCGCATAATATATATCTGTGATAATTTTACCTTAGATGGACACTGTTTTTTTTTTTGAATTATGTAATCGAAATAGTATACATTATATTTAACTACTCTTTCTCTAATAATTTTACCTTGACCAAATACTAATTTTCTTCGAATTATACCTTAACCAGAGACTAATTTTTTTTCAAATTATATATACATTTTGTGTCTATCAAAAGTATAACTATTCTTTTTATAAAATTATACCTTAACTAGACACCAAATTTTTTTTGAATTATATATATGTTTTGTATCTATTCAAAATGCACTTTATAAGATTGGTAATTATACCTTGACTGGACAATGATTTTATCTATGCAATTTTATATTCTGAATTTGGCCTATTATCAAAAATTTTGTAATACAAAAATAGTTATCAATTGAATTTACTTACTCTATATATGAACTGCATTTCGATCAAAATTATACAACATATAAATGATCATAGTTACCTATCCAATTTTTAATTTGGATTTTTTCTAGCACTTATTGTAAGAGGTGACAAAAATGATCTTACTTGAGGTGAATAGTTGGTTAGTTAAATGTAGCAATATACCTTCTGCTAGAAGTATACTACTTAATTAGATTGTACAATAATTACACATATTCAATAAGAGCTAAAGATTTATTTTTCAATTCTTTTTTGTGCGGAGTAGTAGATACGCTCATCTTAGTTTCAAAATTTCACTTATATTCTAAGAAGTCAGCCTCACTCATACTCTTACACTCTTTTTTCCAATAATTTTAGTTATCTCGTATTTCAAAAGTAATCTCAAATCTTCATTGTTCTAACTTTTCTTGAGACATTTGAAATTTTTGTTGTAGATAGAAGATAAGCATATCTATATTAGATTCACTTTTAATGAGAAACTCTGAAGATAAAAAAATTAAAGAATCAGATATTTTTTTCTAATATGCATTGGTTTCAAAAATAGTAATATCAATGTGGCATATATCTTGAGAAGAATTCTTTCTATATTCTGCATTATATTGAGCTAGCATTTCTAAGAATAAATCTTTTTCGTCAATCTCATTATTAGATAAGTTAGAAACTTTATGCTTTGTATATTCTAAAGTAATATTATTAGTAATAGATATAGAATCGAAAAGATCCTGAGTTTCATCAATCAATTCTGGTTTATATAATAGAAGAATTGGACCTATAGGGAAATATTTAGAATTATTCACTTTTATAGCTATTATTTCTTCTTGAGTTACAAAATTATCTCTACCATATAGTTTGTAATAAATCCAATAAGTTTTCTTCTTTACCCTATTAGTTCTTGAACCTACACAGGTTGTACTACTTCTGATAATATAACTGCACTAATTACTCAATATTACATTAATAAATTTTATTGTAGCATTAAGATCTGGTATTCCTTTAGCTCTGGTTTTAAAGCCAAAGAGTAATAATGCATCTTCTCGAATTTTAATAATTTTTTCCTGTGATTGCTCAAAAGTTTTAGCTATATCATCATTAGAAAGAATATTCATATCATCTATATCTTTAAAGCCTATTGATTAGACAAGATTATATACTGCTTCCCACTGCTTTGCTGAATAAAATTTATGCAAATCAACTAAGAATAGATCTATAGATTCACGTAAATCTTCTCATTGCATTTCTTCTTTGATTTTTAGATTTTCTATAGAATTTATTGTGTTAGAACCTTGTCTTTTGAAATATGCTTGCCTTCTAAAATGCTGTAAAAGTTCAGAATTATTATATCTTTTTATGAAATCTATGTCACAAAGCTTAACTCATCATTATTATTCATGCTCTAGTTTCAAATGTCATCTTTGCTACCAATATCACTTGAAGCATATATTCTCTATAAATAATGACGTTGTAAAGTCATGTTATTAGCAAAAGAGCATATAGGATTTTGCTTAAGAATTTTAGCTTTATTGAAACTAATATTTGAAGTATTAGCTATTGATTCTGCGTCTGCACTTTTAATTTTTTTCTCAGTATTTTTAATTGTATAAGAAATTTTATTCCTGTTGATTTTTTCAGTATCTTCCACTAAAATTAATTCAAGTGTTGCTCCAGTACTAGCAATAAGACTACAAAGAATTTCAGAAAAGTATTTAGCTAATAAGCATCTTTGATATTCAACTTCAATATAGGTTTCTACTGCTGGAGATAAATTAAGTGCATAATAGTCAGCAATTTTATCCTATGCATGCTAGCCTTTTATTATTGTTAGTAAGTCTTTAGGTCTTAATGCTGAAAGTTCAGCCTAAATGAGTTCCTGATATAGTTCTTTAAAAATATTGAATTTTTTGCTATAATAAAAAGAAACTATATGTAATGAGTAGTCACAGATTCTGAACAATATCTGAGCAAATGCTTCAACATAGACAGAAGTAGCAATATTAGTAATTCCTATAACTGTATCAAAATAACTAGATATTTCAAAGCAGATGCTAGCTTCTATAGTACTTGTATAAATTATACAGTTAAGAGCACTCCAGGTGGCATCAATATTAGCAAAATTATCTTGGTATTGTTTCCCATCTATTTGATTAAAATAAACTTAAGATAAAATGAATGAACTATCAGGTTTTTGCAACTTAGATGTTTAATCAGCTAAAGCTCAGGCTTTTTTATAGCTAGTCATAACAAATGCAATATGCTTACTTTCTTGAAGTATCTTAAAACCTCTATATATACCTTCTGAACCTTTATTCGGATCGTAAAGAAATTTAATAATCTCCCTTTTATGTTGTTAATATTTGTTGTCAATAATCTGAATATTCTCATCTCAATAGAATTTTAAGAAAGCTAAAGTTGAGTCATTTGCAAAAGCATCCATAACAACAATATGAGTGGCTATATTTAACAAATCATGCATAGTATTAGCAGATTTTCAAGTATAAACTCTACTAGCCATTTGACGCATAGTAGTATTTGCTTCATCTAAAATTGCAATACAAGAACAGTCCCTTTGAAAACCAAGATGAAGAATACTTTCAACCTGTACAATAATAAGATCCCACACATGCGTCTTTAAATCAGCTACAATATTCTGATATTGCTCTACTCTGAAATCGAATTTTTCTAATTCTTTAAGTTTAGCTTCAGATTCATTGCTAAAGATCTTACGATATGAAACTCATATAGTACAAAGTAAATTGGCACTACTTTGAGCTAAAGATGCCAAAATTTTTCTTAATGTTTTTGTTTTTCCAGTGCCTATAGCAGAACAAATAAGAGTAGTACTAGGCTCTTCACTTAAAAAATCTGAGAAAGCATCTAAGGCATCCTCCATTTCTTTTACATTAATACTTTCTCTAAGTAATTCAGGAAATTGATGTGGAGTTGATAGAGCTTTGAGTAATCTTTCATATAATCTCTACTTCTTGAACTTTTCTTTCAACTCAACTTTGTCTGATACCTTATCGAAGCTAATGCCTTGTGCTTTGGCTTGTATTGTTTTTAGTAATAACACTTAAGTATAAAATGTCTATTTTTTTAAATAAATCTATAGAGTTAATTCTTATTATGTTTAACGTCACATATAGAACATTTTTTAACAAATTGTACTTGAAAGTTAATGAATCCTTTCTCGATTCTTCCAATCTGAAGCTACCCATATTCTGCAATAGTTAAATTAGCTCCTTTAACCAAAGCATCATCATCATCAATAGGTTTAAATTCCTCTTCTGCTAGCTTTTCTTCTGAAAAAGTTCATGGCCAGATCACAGAATAATTCTCTTTAGGCTGAACTAATAATCATCAAAATTTTTAAATCCTTTGTTAATAGAAGAAATAGCAGATCTTTTTATACACCCCTCTTTTGCTAATCCAAGAAGTCGAAGACTAAAACATAACTTAGGAAGACCAACATCAATAAATTTTAAATAAGGTTCCTCAACTAATTCCATAACTTTTTCTGTAAAACTCTTAAGTTCTCTATAATTCATAAATTAGACTTGAGGATAAATAATATGCTAGCTACATTTCTTAGCATTTGATGAACTAGCTAAGGCAAAAGAATTTAAGAAAAGTATACAATCAGGAATAAGGCTTAATACATCTGCACAAGCGACTAAAATTTGAGATATTAAATCTTCTTGGTTAATTTTTTCACTATCTAAAGAAGCATGTTTAGGATTATTTGAATCAGGTTTTTGTCTTGTATCAATATCAATAATTAAGCATAGAGGCTAGTTTTTATTGATATATTCGTGAGTATCAGGTATTCTATAAACTTGAGAGAGATGATCGATTATTGTATAACCTTTTTTTGCCATCTGAATTACATATTGAGAATAAATCTCCTCAGGTCAATATGCATCTAAAAGTGCAGTATCATTTTTATCAGTATAGCTATTGGATGCAAGCCAGTATTTATAAAATGTATGTTCTTTATGGCTAGGTTTATAATCAAGATCTATTAAACCTATAAAAAGCTATTTTGCTTTATTATATTCAGCTAACTTTTGATTTAAGCACTGTTGCTGTAATGATTCATGAAGACATTTTTTTGCTTTACTAGACAAACTCATTTTATTGATTTGTATATATGTTGTTTGTATATATGCATTGTTTGATCTGACAAAAAGTATATGT